GGTACAGATGGATTGGAATTATGAAGGATAGATCATAGAGATGGAAGGCTTTCTTCCCTGATGAACATCAATGAACTAGTTGGATTTTGTTACTAATTCAGCAGCCATCATTCAGTATTTTTGATGATCAAAACATAGAATCTAATTTCATGATTCACTTCAGTTGCTAAGGCAATGCCATTCCTGTTAAAACACAAAAGGACAGTTCTTGCATTGGTCCACCACTAAGCTTTAATCAAAACACACTTAATTATTACAATGCAATTAAAATGCAACAAAACAAAGAATCGTATAACTTTACACTATTGATATACTTAACAAGACAATGTATTATTTAACCACTAATAATCAACTGCTCCAATACAGGTAGCATCCATAAACATACCTTTTGGCAAAATGAAACACATTATTACTTTCATGTGCTGTCTCTTTCCAGTCCAGCAGAAAGAAACAATCTGCCCCTTTTGATTTCTAGGAGGAAAACTCTCTGTCTAAGTCTTCAATTTAGCAGCAGAGAGACCTTTAGCTGTCTGATGCAGCAGCTAACAAAAAAAACCTACTGAAAACAAAACCATGTCCTCAGGATCTGTGTGAGCATGACCCTGCCCACTCATGACTGTTTACTTTAAAAACACACTCAATGAGAAACCGAAAGCTATTTACAAACTGCCCGTTGGGAGGAGACACCTTGGCACCACTACAACAAAACCCTCTGCAAGAGAAACAGGACAGAACACATCTCTTAAAGGCATAATATTGTCACACGTGTTCTCCTGAACCTCCTGATGGTACCAATGTTGCCAAAATATAACATTGGCTCATGTGCAGTTATTTTACCAAGTTGCAGACAACTCCTTGTACATTCTCCCCTTTTAAAAGCTGTGTGCATTTTTCTCATTTTCAAAACACTGTCCAAAAATAGAAAAGAAGATGTGGTCTCCTACAATGGCTTGAACCTGACATCAGGACCTGATAAGTGTTGTGAACCAGACCAGACCTCTTCAAAATATTTTAAGGTAGCCTAGACCTTAACTTTTTCTTATTTTAAAGGTAGATGTGAAATGCTTATTCCAGATGTGATGAAACTGGTCAAACCACTTGATGTTAAGCACAATACAAAAGGAAGAGGAATTTCGAATAACTTAACTATTGGAAAACGTAACCGAATAATAGATACAGTACCCATTATTAATTAACTGTTCTAATATAGTAACATAGACACATACTTTGGCAAGAAAGTAAATCAGACACATATTCTTACAGGCAATTTTCCAATCCAGAAGGAAACAACATCAAGAGAGATTTCAGAGAATGTAGCAGCTTGGAATCACTTCACTGAAACTCCAACTCTTCGGCAACCCAAACAGTTACTGACTGCTACAGCTAAAAAAAACTAGAAAGTTTGGATTTGTGAGAACTGGCCATTCCCCTTCCAATGTTACAACTGTTTTGAAAAAAAAAACCTAAGGGCCTCCTCTGATTGTTGACTTAAGCCTTCTCCTGTAGTCTTTACAATCTCTCTTCAAAAAATTCCAGGACAAAATAACCTTTTTGAAGTGACAGTATCGTCACACAAGGCATGGGATCAAAACAGGATTTCTGAAATAGGTACTAACTCTTCATTTGGTTTCAAAGCCAGTTTGCTTCATCAAAACCAACATGTACTCCACAAATCATCACTGTTGTGAAACTGAAATTACTTTAGACCAATATGAACATATGGTGTGAATACAATGTCAAAGTATAATTTTCTATAAAACCTGTATTTTTTTTCCTGTTAAGAACATTATGCACCGGGAAAAGAAAATGCAGTTGAAGCAAATCAAACAGCTTAAACATTTCCATTAACTTATCATCCCAAGGGCAAAATATTCCTATTTGTAATGTGGAAACAAACTGGTAATTTGCATTAGCATATTTGGGTGCCATCCCACTGTATAACTCTCAATGGATTCAAACCACTGTTAGGCTGCAGTTTCTCATAAAGATTTCACAGTTTAAATTTTGCACATTCAGTTCATTGCCATCTTATGTTTAAAAGAACATAGTTCAAAGATTATCAGTTTAATTCTGCATAGATGTTGACATATGAAGAGAGGTTGAGTAGATTAGGATTATTTACATTAGAAAGACGGAGGTTGAGGGGGGACCTGATTGAGGTCTACAAAATCATGAGAGGTATAGACAGGGTGGATAGCAAGAGGCTTTTGCCCCAGAGTGGGGGACTCAATTACTAGGGGTCACGATTTCAAGGTGAGAGGGGAAATGTTTAAGGGAGATATGCGTGGAAAGTTCTTTACGCAGAGGGTGGTGGGTGCCTGGAACGCAGTGCCAGCGGAGGTGGTAGAGGCGGGCACGATAGTGTCATTCAAGATGTATCTAAACAGATACATGAATGGGCAGGGAGCAGAGGGATACAGATCCTTGGAAAATAGGCGACAGGTTTAGATAGAGGATCTGGATCGACGCAGGCTTGGTGGGCCGAAGGGCCTGTTTCTGTGCTGTAGTTTTCTTTGTTCTTTGTATATTTTAGTTTTATTTAAAGTTGCTTTGAAAAATCTACTTTTTTGCATCGTATTCTTTTCAAGTAAGAAATTATATTCACCCATCATTAACAAAATGCTAGCTCTCTCACATACCTACTGGTTTCAGTTTACTGACATTTGATAGATGATATATAACATTACAAGTCCTGTCTGTATACATAATTCATCCAATATGAAATAGCTTTACCCTTTGAGACCATATGGAAGTTTGCACTAACCCACAGTAATTTGTTGCCGTTAAAATGGTTATTTTAGAACACAATCTTTGCAGGAGGCTCAGTTGACACAATTCAGTTCTTATCCACAGCCTAAACCATGCCCAGGAATGAAAGCATGACACAGAGAATGAGAAATCAGCTAGCAACACTATCCACAACCTAATAAACCAATTGACACCACCACAGAGCTGTATGATCCCTCCCCTTGGCCCAGATGAATTCTTGGAAAATGCTATCAATGCGCATCTTTCATAATGCACACCATGCCATATGAAGTAACCTGATACAGCAATGTTTTCATTTACAAATCAAAGCATTGAAATGATTTGCAACATATTTACCTGAAAATTCAGATTAAATAACTAGACATCTGCTAGACTATTATTTGGATTAATCAATCTCTGAGTTCAGCTGGTAAATAATCGGTTTGATTACGTTATTGTTTTGCATCATTGTGTCATCCACATGGACTTATTTGACAAAATTTCTTTAAAGACACAGGAGAACATCGGGGCAAATACATCAAAAAGTACAGATTGGATCAGCTTAGTGAAACAGAAGTTTCAAGCTGCAAGTGGTCTTAATCAAGTCAACACTGTACAACAACTATTTTTAAAGCCTTCTGAAGGATGATACAATACCAAACAAAAAAAATCCACATGCTCTGCATCATTGTCAATATAAACATTTACATTGACACTGCTTGAGATGCAATACTTTTCTTTGCTGCATTAAACCCTCCTTCAGATCAGGACATTTATCTCACATTATTAAAACGTCATCTTATCTGACAAGAAATCTGTTACAGATTCTGTAGGCTGACTGGATTAAGTTATTAAAAGGACCATCTGGAATATAAGTAGCCAGGAATAAGGTTTCCTAAGATAGGTCATCATCTTATCCAGATTGAAACTTATGGAACAGATTTACCCACATTCTGTTCCTTTGCATACCCACTTTTACATTTGCAATACAATTTCTTATTATAGACACTATTCATGAAGGACTTTGCATTTTGCTCCATCTCTAATTATTTTGAAAATTCATTGAATGGTTATAGTACAGATATTGAAGTACTCAGGAAAGGGCAAGAAGTAGAGTCGAGGATTATCAGATCAGCCATGAAACTCATTGAATGGTGGGACAGACTCAATGGGTTGAATGGCCTATTTGTGCTCCTACATCCTGTGGTCACCTTGTAAACTTAAAATGATGTTAGTTAAATGGTTTGGCAGGTATCAACAGGCATGGGTTTCTTCGAGGGCCTGCTTGCTCTAATTTGTCAGTGTATAAGGATCTCCCGTTTCACTGTGCGCTGATAAGATGCAAAGACATGTGTTTGCCCATTTCAGCACGCACAAGTCAAACGGCACTGGAATTTATCAAGTACCAATGCTGCGTGTTACCTGCCAAATAAAGTATCAATACAACTTTATCCCATCTTTCTTTAAGATAATAGCTTACACCGACTGTGCTGTTAAATTCTTTTGATGAAGAATAAGACAAGGAACCTTTTGCTGTACTTTGATACATTGTTTTGTATAGAAGCTGTACTATTTATAGATCACTGATTAATGGGGGAGAAGAATGCAGAACATCCTCAGAATTGCACTTTTTTTTGACTGGCTTCTGAAGGAAGCTTTAAACAAAGCTGTTACTGTATGCAAAATACAAATTGAAGTTTGTGGATCCTTACAGTACTACTGAGCTGTGCAAAAGTACACTCAGTTCCCGTTCATTGCAGCAGTGTTTAAGGCAGGAGTTACAAACAGAAATATTGACAGAATGAAGTTCAACTGTTTAATTGTCATTTTGATTCTCAATCATTTACCTTATTAGTATTCATGGGTGAATTTACTGATGTGGAAAGCAAGTCTTAGTATTAAACATAGGAATAGCTAGTTGCAGAAATCGTTAAGTCATACCAAGATGTAATCATTTAAGAATATGAGCTGCACTTTCCAGTAAAAAAAATCTGGAATGGTGAAAATGTTCACACATTTGGGATTTGGGTATAAATTGCCAAGTTCAAGAGAAAAGTTTCCATTCTCAAAATAATCTTTTTTGATGTGATTTTCAGGTTTTGTTGTTATTTCTCCCAGTTGGCTGACTCATACAACTCACTCAAAATGGTAACCAAGCTTGGAAGTGCTTTCTTAAAGACCTACTGGGTCATGGATTATTTGATTGTATTTAGTTAAAACAAACTGAAAATTTGCATAAATAAAGAGCTCACCACTTGGGCTGGGACTTGTTCCATTTTTGCAGCTGGAGTGCCCGGACGTGGATAGAACTGATTGATGAACAGACTTGGAAATTTATACTCCTGAATTAGTTTCAGAGTTTCTTGAAAGTCAGCTTCTGTCTCACCTGGAAAACCACAGATAATGTCGGTGGCAATTGTAATCCCTGGCACCCTGAATAAAAAGATAAAAATTCAGGTTAAAAATGCATGTTATTTTCAAGTCAAGTGTTCACTGCTTCATGTGTGCTCTCCCTTGGCTGAGCAGAGGTCAGAATGGTCAGTCAAACTTTCCTATTTATATTCTACTCAGAGCAATTATCCACCGTTATATCAAGTGAACGAGAAAGTGAGTTGCTTTCTTGAAATGCTACAGTTTCTAGTGTAGTGTTGGGGAAGAAGTTCCAGGATTCTGACCCAGCTTCGGTAAGGGAACAGGGAATTTGTTCCAAGAATGGTGTATAATTTGGAGAGAAATTTGAATGTGTAGATGTTAACATGTGCCTGATGCTTTTATCCCTTACGTGATAGAGATCATGTGTTTACAATGTGCTGTTGAAGAGGCTTGGCAAGTTCTTGCTGCAAATCTTGCATATGATATACATTGCAGCTAGTGGATGCCGCCTGTGCAGGCACAGAATGTTGAAAAGTGGTAAATAAGAGTATTGATCAAAGCTGTTTTTCCCTAAATGTTTTTTAAAAGTTTGTTGATGGGATGTGGGCATCACTGGCCAGGCCTATATTTATTACTCATCCCTGGTTGCCAAGACGGCAGCTAAGAGTCAACCATTTTGCTGTAATGAGGTAAGGAAGGCAGATATCCTTCCAGGAAGCCAGATGGGCTCTTACAGCAATTGTCAGTGGTACATGATTGCCATTATGCCAGCATTTTTTAACATGCAGTTTTTTTAAAATTGAATTCAAATTTCACCATCTGCCATGATGAGGTTTAAACTTATGCCCCCAGAATGTTGGCCTGGGCCTTCAGATTACTAGTCCAGTGCCTCCCCATAATCATCATTAATAATAATTCAATTATCTCCCCATGATATTCAGAAGCACTTCCATTGCTGAATCCCTACAATCAACATGCTGTCATTTAGCATTGACCAGAAGTTAAATGGATCATTAAACAAATATTGTCACTATAAAAAACAGGTCAGAGGCTCGGAATTCTTGGGGGGGCTGTGTGTGTGTGTGTGTGTGTGTGTGTGTGTGTGTGTGTGTGGTGTACCTGCCAACTCCCACAGCCTTTACATCAACTATAAGACACAAATCAAGAATATGATGGAATGCTGATCACTATTCAGGATGAGTGCAGCTCCAAAAACTCTCAAGAAGTTCAACAGCATCCAGAACAAAGCCAGCTCAATTACTGCCCCATCCATCACTTTCAACATTCACTCCCCCCACCACCCACCAACACACAGTGACAGCAGCATGTACCATCTACAAAATGCATTGCAGTGAAGGGACAGTGGATATGAAGTTAACAAGAAACAAAGTTGTGGTAACTGTTGTTTTGCAGCCTAAAGGACAGTATACAATCGGATTCCACAAGGATTCATGTAAAAACACTGTATTCCTTGATATATATTAATACCCGAGGTTTGGGTGTGCAGTACACAATTTTAATTCTTGCAAGTACTGTGAACTGTGAGATGAATAGTAGGAGGCTTCATGAGAACACAGACAGGTTGGTGGACAAAGTAGACATGTGAAAGTGAATGTAGGGAAATGTGAAGTGAAAGATTTTGAAAGGCAGAATGAGATGAGGAGCAGTGTAAAATAAAGGTCTGATTTTCATTCATCAGGCAAGACGAGTCAGAAAATCTCCCAACTTTCTGGAGTCATCTTGGGGAAAAAGTGCCACAAATGGCTGAATCTTCATTCTGGGGGATATAGGCAAGTGCGGTACATAGCAGGGTGCACCACTCCCAGACACAAATCAGAGGCAGCCAAGTGCTCAAGTTTCTCACCTCCCCACTCACTAATGTGATTGTGATTGTGCAAAAAGTATCAGAGAAATAAAGCTATAATGGTTGCATTTAAGATTATGTCCTTAATAACCACAAATATTTTTCAACACTTCGATATGAGCAACCATTTTTGTTCACAATTTTTAAAAGGCTGGACATCTAAATAACATGACAGCTTCACAGACCCCATCTGCTCTTTACAAGCATGTACATCTACTTTACAATACTGTAACTCTCATTCAGTGAGCAAAGGCTCTGGTTCCAGAAATAATGGAATCCGTTTGAACTGAGTTTAAATGGCTCTGCTCAGTTCAGGTTTTCCTCATGTGTGAGGCACATCCCACCCTGTTCCCCTAGCAGCAAAAGGAAAAATGTGAAATTCCAGATCTAGGTTTCAAGTGCAAGTTTGGACACATCATGAAGTCTCCATGACTCTCTAAAAATCTGGGCCAATGGATACAATTCTAAAAAGGGTGCAGCAGGAACAGAGAGATCTGGAAGTACATGTTTACAAATCAAAGAGTGGTGGGATAGCATGAGCACCGAATTAACTATGCATATGGGATCTTGGATTTTACAGATGGAAACATGACATACAAAAATGACAAAATTATGGTGAACCTGCAAAAATAAATGGTTCAGCTTCAGGTGAAGTCTTGTTCTAATCCGTGCACCACATTTTAAGGATGCGAAGACATCAGAGAGGATGAAGAAAAGATCTGTGAGAATGTTTCTCAGTGACTTCAGATATGTGAACAGATTGCCAAAGTAGTGACTGATGGACTGAAAGGAGAGAAGGTTGACAGGAACTTTGATAAAGGTAGTCAAAATAATGAAGGGTTCTGACACAGTAGATAGGGAGAAAATGGTCTTATTGGTAGAGGGGTCAAGAACAAGATGACACTGATTTAACGTGACTAACAAAGGAACTAAAGGTAATGTGGGGAATTTAGTTTTTACAGTAAATAGTTAGAATCTGTGATCTACTGCTTGTGAGTGTGATGGAGACAGATTCCATTTTGATCTTCATGAAAGTGGATAAGTTTCTGAAAAGATTTACATCACTATGGGAAAAAGGTAGGGGAGTGCAACTAGTTGGAGTGACCATATTGAGAGCACCAAAAAAAATGAGGTGTCAAATGGCCTCCTTCCATGCTATAATTTTTGTAAACTTATGGCATAATTTACTTTTTATCGACTTTCTTTCTCAATTTTCCACTAAAGGTAACTCATAAAGTGTAAAACAACGGAGATGGATACACCCTGTCAGGAAATGCATAACATAGAGTTATGGAAGGTTTTACTATCTTATAAACAAATCATCAATTCATAATCATACAATCACAGAAATGTTACAGAAGGAGGCTATTCAGTCCATTATGTTGGGAACAGCTCTCCAATGAATATTGTGACGATGCTATTTGTCTGCTTTTCCCCATATCCTTACACATTATTTAAATAGAAACAATCATCCAATGTCCTCCTGAATGCCTCGATTGAACTTGCCTCCAACACATTCTGAGGCAATACATTCTAGGCCCAAATCATCTGTGTGAAATTTATGAAACACTTTAAACCTGTGCCCCATCATTGTCAATTCTTCTACAAGTGGGAACAATTTCTCCCTATCTACACTATCTCAGCCACTCCTGATTTTGAAAACTTCTACCCAAGTCATCCTCTTTCCAAGAAAAATAGTTCAACCTCTTCAAACTATCCTTATAACTGAAGCTTCTCATCCCTAGAAACATTTTTGCAAATCTCTTTTGCACTGTCTCCAATGCGTTCACATCTTTCCTATAAATTAGCGACCAGAACTGTAGACAATACTCCAGTTGAGATCTAACTATTGTTTTATACAAGTTCAGCGTCACTTTCTTGCTTTGAATTCTATGCCCCATTAATAAAGCCCAAGATACTGTATGCTTTATTAACTGTTCTCTCCACCTATCTAGCTATTTTCAGTGATATTTGTACATGTACATCTAGGATCCTCTTACAATTTCTTAAGTATTGCCACTCCTAAAACTTACTGTCCACGCATATTCTTCCCATCAAAATGTGTCACTTCACGCTTCCCTGCACTGAACATCAGCTACTACCCCTTACATCCTGAGGAGTTGGTAGTCTACAAACTACACTGAACAATGTAATTGCAAATCCTTTGTACAGTGGGTCTAGCCAGATTGATCCTACCCCAGCCAGCATTCAAGCTCTGAAATTTGGAGCTCTAGTCTCTGCTGGCAGGATCCATGATTTCTCACATATTACAGGCCCCATTTCCACTTGACTGCACTGAGCGGCCATACCTGAACATTATTTCTCTTAAGTTAACTGTACTGCACGCTGGATTATTTACAGCAATTTATTAGGTTGGCCCTGACCTCCCTTTTTTCCTACTGTTTCATGATTAAAGCAAAGTATAGCTACTTCATTCAAAATAATATGATTTTCTAATTTATAGCAATGTAAAGACAGACCCCAACAGCAGTTTCCCACCAAACAATGCCTTTACATCATTGCCATCATAGACAGCAAGTTGCCTTTACATGGAACATTTAATGTTGTGAACTGATCCAAGGCACTTAGCCTGAGAAACAAGTGCAGTTGAAAGAAAAATTATTTCTATCATCTCACTCATTTTTCTACCAAAAACTACAACACCCCCATCATACAGCTAATTGTTTCTTACGAAGTAAGAGATTTTTTTTAAAACAACCCTAAAGTTGCAACATAAAGTCCATCTAACACTTTTGAAACCAGACACATTTATTCCTGTGTTTACTCCCTGGAATGTGGGGGATTGTTGAGTCGGGCAACATTCATTCCTTCTCAGAGATAGTAAGAATTGCCGATGCTGGAGTCAGAGATAACAGTGTGGAGCTGGAGGAACACAGCAGACCAGGCAGCATCAGAGGAGCAGGAAAGCAGACGTTTCGGGTCAGGACCCTTCTTCAGAAATGGTCCCTAATTTCTCTTGAGATGGTGACGGATTGAGTCAAAAGTTCAGGTCAAGCTGGAATGTGGTTTGGAGGGGATCTTCAGGGTGTTGGTGCTCCCACATATCTGTTGCCCTTGTTCTTCGACAGTTTGCAGGCTTGGAGAATACTGTTAAAGGTCTCTTGGTGAGATGCGACAATGCATCTTGTAGACTGTACACATTGTTTGCATTGCATCGGTGGTGGAGAGACTGAAT